ATTATGCATAAATCCACATTAGGAAGGGATTTTTTTGCTCCCTAAAAAACTCATGCTAGGGTAAACTGCTTGCATCTTTGCAGATAGCCCACATTCTCATCCCTCTGTTAATGTATCATGTGACAGGAATCAGGAGGTGGTGATGATGATGGCCATGCCATTGGAGCACAAACTTGATCTGGCACTATGGATATGGAAAACCTTTGAGAATGGGCCTGGTGATGGATCCCATGTCTCTGGTCAAAGAACCTGGTTAGCAAAGTTTGTTTAGGATCATTCTTAGAAGGTTAATCAAAAGGTGATGCATTTTTTTTAAGCCATAGCGTCTCAGGAACACTATTTACTAAGTAAGGTGTGGATATGGTTGTGATCTGTACAACAAATTAAATCACACGTCCTTCTGGTACTGAAGTAAATAGTCAGTGATATTGATCTTATTTTATTATTTTCATATTTACAGTTAAGTGATATTTTTCTTTACATGTATATATTTAAATTTTTTTTTACTTTTAAAATTTTATGTATATCTTTGTCTTTTACATCAATTCCATCTCTAAATAAATAATTCACGTAACTCCCTACCCAATGAGTCATCCTTTATTACCAAAAAGAAAAGAAAGGGAAGGAAAAAAGAAAAAAAAAGTTTAAGACTAATCAAACCATCAATTGAGTCTGACAGTATATACAATGGTCAATACCATAGTTGTCAACCTCTGCAGGAAAGGTGGTTGCATTTTCTCAACTCTTCTTCCATGACAATTTCCTTCTCTCTCTCTCTCTCTCTCTCTCTCTCTCTCTCTCTCTCTCTCTCTCTCTCTCTCTCTCTCTCTCTCTCTCTTCCCTCTTCTTTTCTCTCCTCCCCTCCCTCCTCCCCTCTCCATTTACACTGTTGTACTTATGTACATATAGTTTTGATAATTTTTTAAAAAGTCAAATGGATAGCTAAAGACATACAGTACATAATATTAACAGAATGGCTTAACAGAACTTTTTTTTTTGCTTTTTAGGCAATTGGGGTTAAGTGACTTGCCCAAGGTCACACAGCTAGTAAGTGCCAAGTGTTTGGCCTGAGGCTGGATTTGAACTCAGGTCCTCCTGACTTCAGGGCTGGTGCTCTATCCACTGCGCCACCTAGCTGCCCCTTAACAGAGCTTTTGTAAAAGAGTTTTTTGCCCAAGATCTTCCATTTCCTAATCTTTTCTTCCTCTGAAACTGAATAGAATTGCACAGACTGATGAGTGGCTGATCCATAGAACAGCTTCTACCAAAGGAAGGGGAAGGACATTCTCTTACTTGTATTTACTTACACTCACATAAATCCAAAGTTTTATGATAGTTTGTTTCTCTCTCTTTGGAAAGGGAATTGAGATCTCATCTAATGTTATAAAGAGTAATAATAATTCCTTCATACACAGGATATGTATGTACTTTACATACTATACTATATAGTATGTACTTTTATGTACTATACAAGAATTCTAAAAATTATTTTCTATCTTTTGCACTATTGCCAGGTCAGTTTTTCTAAAGCTTTGGGAAATTGTTTTCAATAGCTGTCCGTTATCAATAGATAGATGAAACATATTAAAAAAATATTTGCTAGGTGCCAGACACTGGGCTAAGCTCTGGAGATACAAATAAAAGCAAAGGAGAGCTGCAAATTGGGGAGGATATACATCCAAACCATCCATCATGGCTTGGAAATGGCCACGAGGTAACATGGTATCCTACTTCTGGGCAAGATAAGGCTACTGCTCCCTGGGTAAGTGGGCAACCATTTTCTTTCCATTGGAAGGCAGTTTCCAAAGCATTTGAAATAAAAGCCATGCCCTAGAAGGGAAAAGCAGGAAGGGTGGAGTTCATGAAATACAGAAGGGGGTTTGTATGTGTGGAACAGACATTGAGGTGAGGGGCAGAGACTAGTGGTGGTGGAAAATACCTGCTTAGCATACCTTGCTCGAGAGTGCCAGCTGATGGTCAGATATGGAAAATGATTTATACTACATCCTGTTACTATTGACTGTTAGATTTAAGGAGCAAAAGGAATCAGAAAATTTCTAAAATGATATTAGTAACTATTGAAAGGAGACCATGCTTATATTATGAGAAGAAATTCAAACATAGTTTAACAGTGTGGTTCTTCTGAGCTGCTAAATGCTGGATATTATTATAATGAAGAAAAGGTATACGTGTCAATATTCCACCCAGAAGCAGGGAATGGATATTTCAAGGGGTGGGCAGCATGCCAGTGATAAGAAAAGCAACATTGGTTTTTTCCCAGTCTCAATTTCTGAATATGTAAAATAGAAAAACTGGCACATATGATCTACAAAATTTCTTTTTGCTTTAAAAATTCTGATTTGTATATTTTAAAGAGCCCAGTGTTTGGTTTATAAGTTAAAATTAGGGCATTTAACAGGAAAAGGAGAAAGAACATGTTTTGGAACAGAAAAAGTCATTTTTATTACTATTTAAGCTTTAGTTTATAATAAACATTTAACTCTAATAATGCTAAGAATTCACATTTAAGGTTTCCAAAAGTGTTTTCTTTACAGTAATCCTGAGAGATAGGAGTTGCAGGTATTATTATTTCTACTCTATAGATGGGGAAGCTGAGACACAGAGCAATTAAGTGATTTGAAGATGGGAATGGAAGGAGATACCTTTAAAGCTATAGCTGGAAGAGAATTCTTGATCAAACCAGGTATAGAAGAGATCATAAAAACCAACATAGACAATTTTGATTATATATCATTTAAAAGCTTTTGGTGAATGAAATTTATATAGCTAGAATGACATAAAAGAAAACCTTATTGTTAGAGTTTTGGAGAACTTTTCCACATGGTTGATGATAGTTTTCATATCTCCTTTTGAAAACTGTCCATATCATCTGAGTAACTTATCTACTGGGGATCTTGATTTTTATATCTGTAACAGTTCCCTATATAGCCTGGAAATTAGACTGTTATCATATGTTTGTTGCAAAGATTTCACACACACACACACACCACACACACACACACACTACCACTTCTTGTTCTTTTATGTCTGTCAAATTGTTAAGGATGATAATACTGAAATAATATTGGAGGAGCTGTGAGTAAACAGGCACACTAAGACACTGCTGGAGGAACCATGAATGGGTCCAGGTGTTATAGAAAATAATTTGAAATTATGTGAAGAAGTTATTAAATTGTTCATACCCTTTGATCCAACAATCCTACTACTGAATATGTACTCTAAAAAAATCTCGTATTTGCTGAAATATTAATGGCAGCCCCATGGTGGTAGCAATAAACTACAAATGAAGTGGGTGCTATTGATTAGGGGAAATGGCTAAATCAATCATGGCATATTCACATAATTTAATATTATTGTACCATTAGAAACAATTGATAAAAGGAATTCAGAAGAATATGGAAAGGCTTAAATGAACTGGCACAGAGTAGGGTGAGTGGTAATGGGAGAACAATATACACAAGTATACAACAAAGTAAATAAAAATAACACAAAAAAGCAACTGAACTTAGATTACATGAAATGAACAATATTCATTCTAGAGGATAGATCATTAAACACTCTTTCCTTCTCTTGATGATGAGGTTGGGGTCACTCTGGCAGAGGAGAATGGCAAGAAATAACAGAAGTACTTCTTGTATTGCATGGTCTTGCCTAACTCTTTTTCTTTAGTAAGAGGGAAGGTTCAGTAGCAGAGAAAGGAGGGAAGTATTCCTCATGCTAACGAGGAATTATACTGTCAGATATGGTCAATGGTCCATGTGTTAATATTTGGATTAACTGTACTTTTCCTTAAAAGGAAGAGTTTTATTGGAGGAGGTTATTGGGAAATGCCAGCAGTGTTTATGAAATCATTGACATTAAGACCAAAAAGAAGTTATCTGATTTGCTGAAGGACATAGCTAAGAAGTATCAGAGTGGATTCAAACTCAGGCCTTGTGATGCTAAGGTCAGTATAGCAGGTTAACACATTTTTCATTGAATAACACAGCTTTTCTTGCTTAGCATTTCTATAGGGCATTTCAAAGTGCTTTGAAGTTAATTCAGTTCAACAATATTATTAAGATCATGGTGTGTGCAGAGAACTGGTCTGTTAGGAGGGATATATGGCTTAGGTAAGAACCAATTCCTTCATGGAACTTTATTGTCTAATAGTAAGTATGAAATAATATGGAATATGATAAGAGCATTGTTCTTGTTTAGTCATGTCTGACTCTTAGTGACCCCATTTGGGGTTTTCTTGGCAGAAATACTGGAGTGGTTTGTTATTTCCTTCTCCAGCTCATTTTACAGATGAGGAAACTGAGGCAAATGACTTGCCCAGGTTCATACAGCTAATAAGTGTCTGAGACTGGATTTGAACTCAGGGCTGGCCCAGATAAGGGCATTAGAGAGGTGCAAATGAATGCATTCTTTCATTTGATTCCTTTCATAAACTTGAGGAAGCAGTGATCAAAAGATATGTAAAATTAGGCATCACGAGGTTGTTACTGTCCCAAAATGTCACCCCTCTATGCATCTGAGCATTATTTAAAGGTGTGCTTTGTGATTGGCATATACCAACAAAGCACTGAGAAGCTGCATAGTGTGAACTTGTAATCAAAAAAGCAAGATTCATATCTTGACCCTTATGTGACCTTGGTGACCTTTAACTTCCCTGGTCTTCAGTTTCCTTATCCACAAAATAAAGGGCTTGGGTTTGATGACCTCTACTGTCCTTCTCTACTTCTAGCTCTTCTGACCTACACTGTATTCAACATCACCTTAATTTTTATTTACCTTTCATTTGATGAAATGTTGAAAGCTTATGAATCAATGTTTTTAATGTTCTCTGCCATTATCAGCAAAATGGATCCTTTCTCACTCGAATTAGAGTACTTAGTCTATATCTGAATGACATTTTTTTTTTACCTTTTGATCTGGACCATCAAAACGTGGATCCTAAGATCATGGCCACTTTGACCTTTCATCTTCTTCCTCAGCATGCCATTCTGTGGGAACAGGTATGATGCTAAGCACCTGGGCGACTTCCTCCATTGAAGAAGTAGCCCAGGCTGCCCCTGAGGGCATTCGATGGCTGCAGCTGTACATCTACAAAGACCGGGAGATCACCAAACAGCTTGTGGAGAGGGCTGAGAGGAATGGCTACAAG